CCCCTCCCCCTCCCCAGGCCTCAGTTTCACTGGCAGGAAGGCTAATACCATTCAGCCGGACAGCTTGGAAGAAACAGAGAAAACAGCCTCCCCAGGGGCAAGGGGAAGGCCAAAATGACCTCAAGGAGGCTGCTTCTTGAAGGAGACACCCAGGACTTCACCAGCAGGTTTCCCTGGGGGATGGGGGACAATGGTATGTTTGGGGAAATCAGGACGGTCTGTGCCAGCTGGCTCTCCCGTGCTTCCTGTGCCTAACCTTCCCTCCACCCTTGTATACTGGTGTTTCTCTCCACCTCAAGTTTTGCGCAACCTTGCTGATGTTCCAGGAGCCCAGCCAGCAGAGCTAAGTGCAGGGCCCTGGAAGCCCAGAGGAGGTTCCTTTAGGAACCTTTCCCCCTCCCTCCTCCAACCACTGGTCTCCCCTCCTGTCCCCTGCCCTCCAGAGCTGGGAGAAGCCACCTGGAGGACCTTGGAGGAGGCAGGAGGGAGAGGGAAGCCATAGGGCAGGGTTAGAGGGAGGGTTGACTTCTGGGAGGTGGGATGTGTAGGGTGGTTGTGGCCAGTTTGGCAAAAGATTTGAGATGGGGTTGAAAGTGAGAAAACACTCCGGCCTAGGGATGTACCCTGACTCCTAGGGAGAACCTGGGTGCATGGGAGGTGATCAGAGGGGAGCAGTCGATGCCTTCTGTGGAAGAGAACACGGGGCTGAGATGGGAAGTGCGTTAACCAAGGTTCTAGAAACCTGGGTCTGGTCTGGCTTTATTGGTGGGTGGAAGGGGCGGCATTACCTCTCTGAACCTCAGGGTCCTTGTCAGTGAAATGGGGTAACAGCTGTCTCACAGGGTTGTGAGGATCAAATGAGGTAACGGTCAAGAAAGGTTGTGTAAAATGTAATGAAGGCTGCAAATGTGAGTTGTTATTATAATAAGATTGCTCCCAAATTGACACAAAGGTTGAGCTGGTGCATTCCATTCATTCTGTTGTGGGACCCCAAGGTCCACCAACAGCAATAAGCATGGGCTAGAAATTTGGCAAAGCCCCGCTGGCTGGAAGGCAGTGGGGTTGAACCTGCCCAAGTGCCTGTGCCCAGCCCCGTGCCTGGTGCTTAGTATGCACACAACAAATGCTTGTTGAGTGAATCAATAAATGGTGTTTTGGAGAAGACATGGGCTGAATTGAGTAAGAGTCATGGCATGTGAGACATTCCAGTGGGAGAAAGGAGAGGCAGAGCAGCGTAAGGAAAACAACATAAGTTTTAGACCCAGATGAGCTGGATACAGAGACTTGGTTTCTTCATCTGTAAGTGGGGCTAATAAGAGTCCCAGGTTTGGCTGTGGAGATCCTCTGAAGTGGCTGGCCTTCCAGGCGCCCAGTAAAGGTAACAAGGATGACTGCGAGGGGTAAGATGGGAGGGTGCTTCCTTCCTCTAAGGAGAGACTATTCAGAGACTTCCAGGCCTGCACCCTCCAGTGAAGCCAGATTGCCTTGCTCCCACCCTCTCCAGAGGCTGGAAGGATCTAGCTTTCCAGGTCATTTGCCTGGAGGGCCCTCTCTGGAGGAGACCACAGCTCCAGCCTGGCTTCAGAGAAAGACTTGTGGTTTAGGGGGGTCTATCCAGGCCACAGAAGACTACTTACAAAAGAATAGCCGAAATTTTCAAAGGGGGCTGACCCAGAAGAGGGGAACCCCTTGGAAGAGGGGGTGATGGGAGACCTCGATTCCATGCAGACGGGCAGGCAGTGACCCCTTCCCCAGCAGCTTTCAAAGTTCTAAGCTCTAGTAATGCACTTGTGGGGAGGGGGTTGTTACCATCTTGTCCTACTGAGCCCCTACTAACCCAGCTCCCCTGGCTGGCCCTGTTTCCCATTTCCTCAGTGGTACCTTTCTCCCTGCCACCCAGGCCTGTCCTCCACACTTGTCCCTGCCCTTCGCTTCCCCCAGCCTCCACATTCAGTTGTTCATCAGCTCCATTACTACTTCCTTCCAGTGTGTCTCCCATCCCCCACCCCCGCAGCTCTTATCTCACACCTGGATGGCTGCAATAGCCTGCTAACTGATTCCCTGTCTTGAGACTACATGCCCTGCTCAGAAACCCTCAGCTTCTTCATTTCCAGGGGGAATCAAGCCCAAACTCCTTATTTTTATTTTTAAAATTAAAAAAATATATATATGTCTTTATTGATTTCAGAGAGAGGAAGGGAGAGGGAGAGGGAGAGAGAGAAATAGAAACATCAAGGATGAGAGAGTCATTGATTGGCTGCCTCCTGCACGCCCCCTGCTGGGGATCGAGCCCGCAACCCGGGCATGTGCCCTGGATCCTAGGTCGGTGCTCAACCGCTGAGCCACGGCCGGGCCCAAACTCCTTATTTTTAGCATGTTTGTCCTTTTACTCTCCGGCCCTGTTTGGTGGACTTGGTAAATTTGTTGGCTGCGTGCCACTGCACCATCCAGGACCCTCAGCCAAGCTGGGCTCCGCCTTACCTCTGGGACTCTTTCCACGCTTCCCTCCTCCCCAGGCTCCAGGACTCACTATTCCTTCCTAGGCCTGCCCATCCTCGCTGCCCGCTTAGGTTCCTCCCCCCCTCGCCCCTCTCCTCCTTCCTCCTGCCCTCTTCCTGATCTACGAAGCTCTCCCTGCCCTCCTGCCCTGGCATCTCTTGCTCCTCAGATCTCCTTTACTTGGGCCTCTCCAGCCTGCACACCAGTGGTGGCCTTGGCCACTCCTGGCTGTCACTTCCAGGGAAGGGAGGGAGGAAAAGGGGCAATGGTGGGGAAATCCTGAGAGCACAGGTGGGTGATTCAGGACTTTTTCTGCCCCTGTGGGCGCACTTTCTACAGATGGGGCCTAAGGGCCCGGGCAGTTGCCACTCACAGAAGCTAACAGAGAAGAAACCCTCCTGCCTTCTTGGAATGCAAAACCTGTCTCCTTCCCCGCTTACTCTGCCCATTTCATTCCAGAAATAGGGTGTGGAGGGGAAGAGGCTCTGGGGATTTTTTCAATCCTTAGTTTGTGCCACACCACATTGGTGACATTCCATCCCAGCCAACAGGACAGAGTTTCTCCTCTCGAGGGCTCTGCTGGAAGTTCTGAGTCCTCTCCTGGCCTCCGGGTTCCCAGGACAATAACAGGCAGAGCAGCAAATCTGCAGCCACCGGAGCTGCCCCAGCTCCTGGTGAGGAGGTGCCCTCGTCGTACTTCCTAATTCCAAGAATGGGGGTTGAGGTGGGGTGGGGCTTAGGATGAGAGGTTACTTCATCCCGAGCCAGTCCTTCAGGCCGGGGAGGAAGGGGATGGGAGAGGCAGAAAAGGGTGAGCCAGCAGGCCGGAGGCCCCACCTCTCCTAGATGGTTCTCAGAGAGTTTAGGGGCTTCTGCAATGCAAAGTTAAGGGTGGGAAGGTGAAAGAGGGAGCAAGAAAGGGGGTGAGGTATAGAAGATGTGGTGACTTGACCCCTAGTTCCACAAATACAGAGCCCTGTGAACCTTGTTAGCATCGCTGAAAAAAGTGAAGGGCTCAGTTGCAGGTGTGTCTCACCCAGCCCTGCCTCCCATCAAATAGCACCTCCACCCCCCACCGGATCAGGGCTAAATAGCAGGTGCCATGCGACAATACTGAGGAACAATAGGGTGTCCCTGCCCCTCCCCACTGTGGAGGAAAGGAGGGGCAGGTTCTGAATTACTGGAGAGACCTAAAGGAGGGGGACTGTGGGACTTCAGGGGGTAGAGGGCAGAAAGGAAGGTGTAGCGTAGAAGAGGTGGGTGCGTGACAATTCCCAAGGCTTGGCAGGGGAGTGGGTTCACATCTGGGGGCAAGGGGATCCACAGGTTTTGTGGAGCTAAGGAGCTATAAGGACGTGCAAAGGGGAAATGGACTTTGTGGGGAGGGCACGGGCCAGACCGGACCCCCTCCTGGGCTTCTCCAGGACTCCTCATTAGAACCCTAATTCCCTCATAGTAAGCTCATACAAAAGAAAGCCCATAGGTGTCTTCACCCAGTGACTAGGTCTGGCTACATCATCAGAATACTGTGGGCAGAGATGGGCTTGGGCACAGTACCCAGGTTAATGCATAGAAAGGCTTGGAGCAGTGCCCGGCCATGGCGAGCGGGCAGAGGATTCTGACCGTGTTATTGTTATCACTCCTGCAATCACCCTGTGCGACTTTCTTCCTTGCCC